AAAAAGGACTATCGTCAATAATTCCGAAGTTAAACGGGTACCGAAAATCGCCTAAAATTTAGACAAAATTCGAAAAAATTAAAAACTTAAACATTGGGTTTTGGGATTCAAGAGTCTTAGGAAAGTACAAAAACGTTGCAAAAATGGAAGAAATAAATTTTTGAAAGTTTTTGTGTCATTGAATTAAAAAAAAATTGAATAAGTATATTGAAAAAAAAAGCTTTCTTTCATTTCGTTGTCACAATAATTTAAAATTCGCTCAATAGAAAAAATAGTATTAAATACACGTGTTACAACCTCTCATTGTGTCCGAAATTTTTTACTTCCCCTAAACTCTGTCTCTGGCTGCACCACTGCTCCCGAGGTGCATATAATACAAGGTGTTCCATTTTTATTGTTACAAATTTAACCAGGTTATAGAATATTCAATTTTAAGATAAAAGTTTTCTATAAACATATATCGAAAAATTTTAAATAAGGGAGCCACATCTTTTAATGGATTTTTTCCAATATCTTAGAAACCATCGTGGATAAAATTACAAAATTTGGTACAACTAAATGAATTCGAAGATAAAATGTCGAAATTTTTACTCAGGGGCGTCCTAAACTGGGGAGTTTAGAGTAAAAAGTACCGTAACTATTTTGGCGGTTGGTTTTTGCCACTTTCAGCCACAAAATTCTAAATTTCATAGTTTTTCACAAAAAAATTCTTTTCGATAAAACTTACCGTTTTTGAGTAAAATCTGTTTACAATTTGTCTTACAGACCATAAAAAGGATAAATTTGTTTCTTGTTTCACGCAAATTAAATAAAATATGTTTATTTTTCTTCATTCTACGAAACTAGAGAAATGTTCGCTCACTGATTGAACAATAAGAACCTGGTTTAAGATTTTTTACAAAAACAATATAGGTACAACAAATTTCTTTTTTTCGCAAACCCATTATGTACTTTGTTTGCAGATTGCAGCAGATCCAAAAATGGAGTATCCGGATCAGTTCCGTTTTAGATTCAAATGGAGAAAAATTACATTTAATTCTGGATTTATTTGTTTTTGAGATCCGAGTATTGTTTACGTCAAATTCGAATCCAAATTTTGATTCGACTGAAACGTAGCACTAATGAATACCATTCCTTATACCTTTGCAAAAGTTAATTAATCAAGCTTGGGCAACTATGTGCTTCAAGTCTTATCTCTGACTCGAGTAATGTGCACAAGAACTGGATTTACTTTTTTTTGCAGATATGTCACGTGGAGAGTCGTGGTCAGGCCGCGTGTGCTGTCCCATCCCCCAAAGCAACAGCTGTCGACGGGCCTGCATTACGGCGACTTCCACCCAAGACCTGGCCCAAGGCTGTCGCCAAAGCGACGAAATTGAGTTTTTTCGTTGCTTAGATCGACAAAAAAGCGGTGAAGAGTGTTGCAGTAATGCAAGAAGTGACGATTGCCACCACGTCTGTCTTGAAATCTTCAGGAGTCGCTGGACGCCCAACCCCCCACTCCGACTCAAAGTCCAAGAAACATGCGAAGCCAACAGTCCGAAAGTTATGGAGTGTGTCAAGGATTTCATAAAAGTGACGCCAGCAAAAGATTTGCACAAAAGTAATAATTCTGTTCAAAAATATTAACATTGTAACAAAATCGTTTCCAGAGAAGCACTGCTGCGACATGTCCAACCAGAGCAAGTGCCGTGAAACTTGCAAAAAACTCCTCTCCATGAAAAACATCACGGTGCAGGAGAGCATAGATGGGTTACAGTTGGGTGGGTGTGGGTCACCCCTCCCACAGGAGTACTTTTGGTCGTGTTTCCTGAAATCGACTGAAACGGCTGAAACAGCCGTCGAAGTTTCAAGGATCGAAAGAGTTGGCATGGACTCGGCAAAATCGCATTGCTGCCCTCGAGCCGCAAGTCACTCCTGCCAAAAACTGTGCACCAAGACATTCACCAAATTCTGGTCCACGTCTTGGGACGAGTTTTACAACAGGTGTTTGACACAAGTGGCGGAGGAGAACTTGAGAAATTGCATAGATGAAGGTGGGTGTTGTGTCTCCTTTTTCTCAGTCTTTGAAAGTTTTTTTCCAGTTGACGAACCTTGCGAACTTGGTTGCGACGGCCTTAGTTTTTGCACGAATTTCAACAATCGGCCTACTGAACTCTTCCGGTCTTGTAACACTCAAGCCGACGAAGCGGCTCGGAATGATGTCTCCGTCTGGCAATTCCAGAATAAATTGACACTTCCTGGACTCATCCTCCCACTTAAGAACATCTCCCAGTGCTCCCCCAATGTCTGGAAAACTGTAGCGTGCACTCTCCAGATTAAACCCTGTTCGAGACACAGTCATGCCAACCAAATTTGTCGCGATGTTTGTCTGGATATCCTCTCGAAGTGTGTGGACTGGACCAGGATATCACCTGAACATTCGGCTGAAACGATTTGTGCCAGTTTATCACCAGAAGATCCCAATGTTTCCTGCATCCGCCTTCAAAACTTCTTATACCCAAGTGAGACAAGTATCGAGAGAATCAGCCAACAGGTTTTCTCTCCCTGTAAAGGCAATCCATGCGAACCTAACGAAGTTTGTCTCCTAAACCGGAACTGTATCCACGGTACCAACTGTCTCCCGTATAAGTGTGTCCCTGGATGCAAACTGGGCGAAGTCAGCGAGTACAAAGTACCACATGGTACCTACGTCTGGATTCCCAATGACAACAACAACAACCAACAGAGTTGCTTGAAGATTTGTAGATGCAACGCGGGGAAAATTGAAGAGTGCCAACCTCTATTATGCGTGAAACTTAAACCATGTCTCATGGGTACTGCCATGCATGGTACTTCGTTCAATATAGACTGCAAAACGTGTAGTTGTTTTGCTAGTGAGGATATTTGTAGTAAAAAACAGTGTGAAAGTACTGCCCTGACTGGGGAAAACACTGCGTACACCACTTTGCCTTGTAATTGTGTTCCACATTACGTCCCAGTGTGCGGCAAGGATGGTAACAATTACCCATCGGCCTGTTTAGCCAAGTAACACTCAACCATTCTTGTTTTTTCCATTTTTGACCCAAATTTTTGGTAGGTGCGCCGGTTTGACGGACTCTGAAATTGAACCAGCTCCATGTGAGGACCCATGCCGGTCCCATAGCTGTCCCATCGGCCACAAATGCGTCCCAAGACCCCAGATTTGTCTCTTCTCGCGCGAGCATCGCGATTGCAAACAATACGAATGCAGTAAGTCGATAAAAATATCAATTCTTGTGCTAATTTTTTCCCCAGTTAACGGTACTACCAACTGTCGCAACTTGCCCAAATCCCCCGTCTGCAGTACCAACAACACCGAATTCGAAAACTCCTGTCTTTTGGCCCACCACAACGCCAAATTGGCCTACCACGGGCCCTGTTTGCGTAACTGCCGCCACGAAGGAGTCGTTTGTGGCTTCAATGGTCGTACCTACATCTCCGAATGTGCCGCATGGGCCGATATGGTCTCCGTGGATTACGTGGGGCGGTGCAGAAGAGTGGGTTTGATTGGTACCACCAAGACCAAGAGGTGTCCCGACGTGAAATGCCAGGCTTTGCCCGACCCCAACTGTCTCGGAGTGACCCCTCCAGGGGCTTGTTGTCCCATTTGCGGTGGTACTCTGAACTTGCTCTACTCGCGACAGCAAATAAACCGGGCTTTGTATGCCCTCGACACCAACACCGATTCTTTGACTCTGAAAGCCATGTTGAAGGCTTTGGATCGGCAAATCCAAGTCGCTCAGTGTGTGCTTCGAGGGTATTTGACTGTCGAAATGGATATTTTCGTGACGGTGCAAACCACGGAGAAATACCCGTCGAAGCTCCAGCTCGAGGCTTGTGTGCAAGAAGCCGAGAAAATCGCAAGTTTGGTCAATATGCAAAGCCCGAGGATTGTCAGTGAAGTCACTCTGAGTTCGCTCACTTTAGCTAACATCATTCATGTGAATTCTGCGGCGAGTTTGGGTGCGTCACTGGTTTTCGTTGTTGTTTTGTTGAAACTGCTTTGAGCTGCAACCAAAAACTTTTGATCTCGCGTTGTTTTTAAAGAGGCCAAATATTATACCAAAGAAATACGACTGCGCTCTATTTTCGGGCGCTTTGACAATTAGGTATTTTTAGATCGTTACAAAGAAACTCGGGCGAAATTATGCAAAGACTTACACAAGTGCCAAATTGAGTTAGGATGGGCCAGTTTCTAGCAAATCTGTGATATGTACTATATTATGTAAATAACTTATGTTATTTTACGCCGTTAACAGAGCTGTAAATAACAAATGTAAATAGAAGAGATGATTTTATACTGCTTTGTTTATTTTAACAAATTTAAGACTTTGGCGATCAGTTACGGTTAAGTTTTATCTGCAATAACTTGAGTTTATTTCCTGTGTAATTTCATAACCAAATCATTTTGTAATTTATTGAAATACATTTTAAAATTAAACTGTCTTTTTTATTTTATTACAACAGCATGTTTTACTAGTTGCATACATTATTTGAGTCACGCCAATGAAAAAGTTATACCTAAGTACTTAGGTACAGTGATGGAGAGTCAATTTCATCCACCCAATTTCCCTGACAGATTAAAAGTGTAAATTAGTCTTTAGGACTTTAGGTTTTCCTGACCTTGTTTCAGACAAATGAGTTTGCGCAAGTTAAATAACAAAAATGTTTGTTAAAAAAATAATAAATGGCAACTGAAAGAAATAGCTTTGAGATAAGAAACAATGTCATTTTTAACAAGTATCAAGAACTATCGTTATTCAATTAACAAATTAATTGTCAATGTGACATAGTAATCAAATAAATAAAACCGCCAATGTAATAGGACTTAATAAGCAGGATTAAATTATTCCAAAATTAAAAGTCCAAAATCAAGAGAAAAATTACCTTTTCTTTCTACTGAGTTAGAGTAATGAAGTTTTAATTACAAATTAAGGCAAAAAATGTATTTCTTTTACAGTTATTTTGGCGTAAAATCAAAGATAAAAAATTTTCTCTCGTGGAAACTCAATCCGGGGACATACCTTCAGTATGTATGATAAGTTCAATAAGTTATTTTGATTTGTTGTCGTTTTTTCTCTAGTCGTCAGGATAAAAATTACAAAAACCGAAAGTGGGGTTAGTTGCATAAGGCCCGTTTTACATTTTTTTTGTCAGTGGAATAGCAAATTGTCCAAAATTTTGTGTCTGCAATTGTACTATCGCGGACAAATTACTTTGGTCGTCTGTATAATCTGTGTCAGTGTCACTTCAGTGACATAAAAAAAAATGTAAAGCAAGCATCAGGATGGTTAACCCACGGAATTCGAAAAATAAGAATCTTATTTTACGAATTCCGTGAGATAACCCTTTTTTTTTACTACCATTTCACTACTGTACAACTTGAGGTAAAAAATCACAATCATTAAGTCACTCGGTATAAATATTTCTTGAAACTTAAAATTACAAAATATTTTTATTAATACTTTAACTTGAAAAAAAGGGAAAAAAACACGACATGAATGTGCAGGGTGCCAACTAAAGCCGCTGTCAATTCATAGTAGCCATTTAATTTATTGAAAAGTTGTCAGCCCCTAGTTCGCCACCTCTATAGAGTGTAGGTTGTGTCTATGTTGGCAGCAGAAGTAACTAAATTGTGTCAGCATAAGATTTTTGTGAAGTATTCTAACCCGACTTTTTCAGAGATTTTAAAGTCGAATTTACACAACTCAATTTTTACAAATTTACACTGAGAAGTGGCCACTATGAATTGACCGCAACTTTAAAACTTTTACATGTATACTTACCGTAAAAAGTCGCGGTTTTTGTCCAACAATTATAATGTTTAAAGAATTATAAGAATATTTTTTCATAAAATATAAAAATATCTGAAGATAAGACTTTTACCTGGATCTGTATATTTTTGATGTGATAAGAAAATACGAAATTCTAATAAGAGTTTATTTAACAAAATACATAAATACATTTTCCAATAAGAATAATAATAATAATAATATAAATAGAATACTGTAAATTTTAGTGTTCCAAAAATACAATATCGTATCCGAATAGTAAAAGCCACATAACAAATATGATACAAAGGTTACAATAGTGCAGTAAAATAGACCATTACTCATCCCATATTTGCCTCAAACATCAAGTATCGTCGATACTTATTTACAAAATGCTCAAATTAGGCTTCCACCCCTAATTCGCCCCTATCTTACTTCAACCCAATGGACTTGGACAGCCGTTCATACACCGTCCAGGCCATCGCGGCCATCAGAGTCCTCCTCAGCATCCTCGGCACCATCCCTTTGAAGTACCCCCTAACCCCGTACTTCCCATGGACGTACACAACCACCGACCACAACCCATTGAACTTATTGGGGTAGAGCTGCATTTTTGTCTTCAAAACATCCGCCGGTTGGGTCACCACCGACGCTAGAACCCCTGCCGTGACCCCACAGGTGAAATGCGCCGGGGATGCCATCGACGAGTCCAGAATCTCCCTCGGGACTAGCAGCTTCGTCTGGGTGTAAAACATGAGATACAAGCCGGAGAATGGGGCGTCCCGGAAGAGAGTCGGGATGAGGCCGCAAGTCATCCCGCGGAGTCCCTCCGTTTTGTAGATTTCGCGAAGGGCGGAGGTGACACCGTTGTAGCCGTAGACACCGCTCTCGACACGGGTTTTCACCACGGTGATGGGGATTAGGGCTACGCCACTCATGCAGCGGGCCACCATCCCCAAAGCGACCGATTCAAGGGGGGATGGAGTCTTATCGGTGAAAAACTGCGTTTTGAGATAATCCAAAGAGCAGAAGTAGAGACCAACACCAGGAACGCAGCGAGTGATCGACTGGAAAAAGAGGGGGTTATCAGAAAGTGACAATTGGGGGTGATAAGAAACATACCGGTGTCATGCCACGCCACAAGCCACGGAAGTGCTCCTGTTGGAGGATGTTGACGAAGATGGTGACCATGCGGGCGCCCCCATGCTGTCCCCTAGAAAATAACAATTAAAATTCCACTACCAACGCTGCAAAATATCACTTACTGTAGTACGGGGGTGGGATTTTGTAGCCGGGTTTTGACCAAATCCAAGGGTTGGAACAAAATAGTGGAAAATGTGCCAGAGAAAGATCCAGCGAGGAAAGCTTTTACCAAAGGATACTGCAAGAAAAACAACTTGTTAATGACCTTGACTCAAGTCAAACATTTTACATTCGGTGATAATGTTACTTACACTAGAAACGATATCCATTTTTGGGTATTATACTGATAAGAGTTAGTCTTCGAGTCAGGAATTTAAGTACAAATTATCTGGGTTGCGTCCCTTACAAACCACGAGTCGTATCGGAATAATCAGAATAATAAATAGGGTTGACGCGGAATTTATCAGCAATGGTCATTTTATAGCGAAGGCTTGATAACTGCATGAAAATACTTCGAAAATGCACCCAAAAAATCACTTTAATACTCCGCTTCACGAGACATTTATTTAAAGACTGCTTAATTATCACTCGAACTCGGTATTTATATTCAAACGAAAGGTCAATCGGAGACCCCCAGTGAACCTTATTATCACTTTTTTTCCGGCATTGCGACCTATTTGTTATCGTCTACTTACATCTTGTAAAATTGTTTTTGTGCCATTGGGGGGCAAGATGTGACCCCCCGGCGGTTGGAAAATAACAGTAGTAACATCCTCTGCTTGCATTTCTGTACATTTTCAGGTGTGATCGCACATTTGCACACACGCATCTTATCTAATGATGATATGGTGCCGCTTTGAAGGTTAGATCAGGTGACAATGACATGGCTATTTTTTCACACGGGTATTATTGTTCGCTTGTAATTAGAGTAATTAACACAAAAAATTTATCCAGAGTTATTTAAATTTATGCCAATTTCAAATTTGAATTAAAACATATTTTTCAAGGTCATTAGTGTCACATCAATGACAAGTTGTACAGGTGCGAATGCCATTAGTACAAAATTGCGTTAGGCCGAAGGGTGTTATTACCCTCTCTTTTAATAGTAATTAATTAATTATTTATGTCTAGCAAAGATAAGAATAATTATAGATTCCCGAAAAATAAAAATTGCGACACCGTGCTTGTTTGTTCAAAGACATGTGTTATTTTTTACAGTCATCTCAGTTTCAATCCGTCTACTCCCCTGGGTGTAATTTGGACCTAGTTCGATAGTGTAAGTTGCTCTTTAAACAATCTCGTTTAAAGAACGAGTACGACTCACACTGGCCGGATATAGCCCAAATTACACCAGGGAGTTGACGTATTGCAACTGAGAAATCATATTTTTAAATTTGTTAGCCAAATTGATGACACAAATCCAACGTCCTTGTCTTAAATCTGGGTTAGTGACAATATTCTTTCTTTAAATAACACGTAAAAGGCTCATGCTTATCTAATGTTAAATGTCAGTGTTGTTGTTTCTCCAGGGGGTCTCTTATCACAATTCGGGGGCTAAGGGTCAAATCAACAGAAAACTTCACTGTTTCTATGCTATTTTGTTACGAGGGAACATTCAGACGTCACAAAAAATTGAAAAATTATAAAAATTGAAATAATAATCAAAATTGACGTCATTAATTATTTCCTCTGTTTTTTATTTATAATCAATAAAACTAATCAAATAAAAAGACTATTTTCGACAAAATGACAATTTTTGGTGGAAAATTTCTGTTTGTCATAATTTCGAAATAACATTGACAGATGCGTAAATAAGTTTAATGGAAAATAAATGAGACTAATTAACAACTTTGATAAAATTCTAATTTTGAATGAGGAAATCAAGTTGCGTGGGTGTCACGTGACAGTTTTGCTCTATTGCTATTTGACCAGAAGGCTGCAAGTCCCGCCCTACTCCTAAGTGACTAGATCAAAAGCTTACCTGTCTGTGGTCACTCATTTTGGGGAACAATTAACTAACAAAATAGCCGAACTGATTTGCAATAACGGTAGCCTCTTTATGTACGAACGTGGTGCGAATATAATATAAATCGTGTGAACTTTTTGACCCATTTCGAAAATTTTATCAAAAAAAATTATTTGTAAAATGTGTGAAAACAAGATTGTTTTATCTTATCCCGACAGGGGGTCCCGGGTCACGAAGGTTAATCTTTTGTTGCTAGATGATTCAATGGCGTTATCGCTGTTTGTTAAATCGATTTTTGTGGTGTGACTAAAATCGTCAAAACGGAAATTGATTTGGCAAAATGTTTACGCCAAGTGGTGCCAAAGGTCGGATTTTGCGAAATACACGCGTTCTAGAAAAAGGGAGCAAATAATTCAAAGCAGCGGTTAATAACATTTATTCTTATCATTTAATCATCATAATAACATAGTTGGACGTAATTTAGCTTCAACGGGTCATAATACAATAATCAAAAATGTGCAAATTTTGGACGGATATAAAATGCAACAACTATTATAAAAATTTAATTTTCTTAGATGAAGCGGTTACATTTTTTTTATTAAGCAAAAACAGGTCGTTTTCCGTGCACTACATTTCAGTAGGTAGGTATAAAATTACTTTAATATATTGCAATCGGTATTATTGTAATATTGTCACTATTTCTTGGTCTACAGTTGTTTCAGCATTGAATGGACTCTCACATTGAGCCGCTGCTCAAAATCGTAATCTTTATACTGAGCTATGCTTTGTAGTAACAATTTGCCTTCAGCTTTCGTCTGAAAAAAAAAAAAAACAATTACTAAAAATCAACCCCAAATTAATTATTACTTCGTTTGTTTTTATTAATAAAGCTCCTAATTCGTAATGTGAGAACGCAGAAATATGAGCATCAACAGCATTGTTCGGACACCCCTTCCTCAAGTTTAAACACAATCGAAAATTCTCAATCCCTGCCTCAAACTGCCTTTGGATGCAATGACAACACCCCAAAATCAACTTCGACAACGCCAACATTGGCTCCTCCCCATCCCCGACTTGTTCACAATCTAATAAAACAAACATTCAAGGGTGGAACTAAACCAAAGTTTTGCTACCTCGCTTAATTTGCTCGATATTCTGGGGCAAACAGCTGGGCAAAGCGTTCCACAAATACAGCATTTCGTAAACTAACAATTTCCAGAAAATTGGGGGCAAAATGGACAATTCGTCATCATCGGACGGACAACATTTGGCACGACGGGACAAAAACTCATCCAATTGGTTACCCTTAGTACCAAGGGTCACCCCCGTTTTAATTTCCTTAATGTTGGTCAAATTTGTTGAATTTTGACAAGAACCACAACAAATTCCAGCTAAATAACTGTAAAACGCGCGACTCCAACGACTCCAAGACTTCAAATAAGAGAAAGTGTTCTCGGCGTTGCAGTAATCTAATTGGATCAAATGACACCACCCGACTTCGTGAAGGGCCAAAATCTTGATTTCGCGTTGAGTTGCGTTTTCCACCGATGATTGAAACGACTTTAAAGCGTTTGGAATGTCACTCTGGGAAAAAAATTCAATTAAATTATTTTCCCCAAAACTAACTCACATTTAATCGATTGACTCGCCCTTTGAAAAATAGGAAAAGGGCACTTTGGCCGTACTCTTCCTCCGATTCTTGCAACAATTGAGTTGCTGCATTGACCCCAGCTTGGACATTACTACCATCAAGGGCATAAAACGGTCTAACTATTGTATGATACCACAGTAGAGATAAACTAGAACCAAAAAATTACTTTTAGTACCAAAATTGTGTCAACTGACGTTGCTAGAGGTGCCCTCATGTCAATCCCTTCTCTCGCATACATCAAACACGCAATTCCGTTTTGTCGGTTCCCACCAAAACCGAGAAAATTAGTGAGTCGGAGTAACGAAGGGGGTAGTAATGAAATACCCAATTGAAACAACCCATAACCGAACGAGACAGCCCCCATTAACCTCTCAATCGTCGCTTTATCGATTTGAGCACTTCTCCTGGAATTTCCAGCGTTAGAATTTTCCATTGATGGTGATTTTCCCTTACTCACAGTTTCTCTGTTGGCGAAAATAAGTGAAAAGTTGAAGTGAAATAAGCCAACGAGAGTGAACTGGTGAACCAATCGGTTTTGGTGTGTTTAGATAAAGCGCTATTGACCGAAAAAGATTTTTTGAGGAAGGAAATTGCAGACGCGTCTATGCTAGACCGACTGCAATTGTTTTTCATCGAATTGGGAGTGGAGGTACCGGAGGAGGACTCGGTTTGGGAGTGAGTGTGAGTGAGGATCGCGGATTGGGAGTAAGGGATTTTTTTGGTATACCCGTTTAAAGGATCGGATTTGCTCGCCTCGGAACCGGTTGGACTACACTCGGGACTCATTGGTTGCTCCACTACGGCTTCTACAAGAGTGAAAATTAAACCTGGAAGGACCGAGTGGAAAATACCTGGGAGTTGGGTGCCAATCTCGCCACCGAGTTCTTTATACAACTGGAGGATCTCCTGGTAGGTGCTCTGGTAGACCTTCCATGCCTTCCTCAACACCCACCCGCCCTTGAAATACCCCGAAATGTCCTGTTGGAGGAAGGTTAAAATCGCGAGACACACTTGAGAGTCCGCTAAAATAATCTGTGTCTCCAAATTCTCAGCCAATGAGCAATTATCACTCGAACCAAACGCTTTTTTCATCGATTTGAACCATCCAGTTTCAGAAGTGCACTTTCGTTCAATTTCTTTAAGCACTGAAGTTGCCAAATTAAGTTTATCGTCTTCGAAAGTCATTAAGGCATCCTGGAAAAGCTCCTAAACTTTTTCATTTGAACAATTTGAGTCTTTACCATGAACGCAGCAAAGGAATACCCTGCACACATCGGAAGACTCTCCGGAAACGACGAAAACAACTCTTGGGCTTCTTTCGCATTGTTGTTGATTAAGTAGTTGATTCCCCGCTTTGCCAGTACCCAATCAGGCACGTTGTCTTCGTTTTTTTCCGGAACGTTTGAAGCCATCTCTGCCTGATCTAGTGCGGCATTTTGGAGGGATGTTCACTTGAAATTTTGAGGGTGTTTTGACAGAAACGTCAGTGTGACACGATTCAAGGGTGTTCATTCATGGTTTACTACACCAGTATCGATTTTTTAATCTCGGGGGTGGTGGTGGGAATCAAGGTCAAGTTTCATATTTTTTTATTTAAATACATAATGTACATTATTTTACAAATTGGGGAATGCTAAATGAATTCAAGTCCTTCGTATTTCAAGTCGGCTATGTGGAGATCGTCAAGAAGGACTTCGCCGTGGATTGTGAAGCTGGTAATGTAGGTCGCTGTTTTACCGTCAACTTCTTCACTTCTTAATGCTACGATGACTTGATCTTGGGACGATGGGAGGAATTTAAAACTTGAAAAGCCTCTTGTGGGTTTCGAATTCAAAATCTGGAACCACAATTATTAAAAAAATAAAACAAAGGAATTGTGAAAATTACTTGTGTCTTTTTAACGTCGTAGAGATCCTCGTCAGTACTTATCAAAACTGAACAACCTCTATGTTCATCTAATGATTCGTTGTATTGCTCTTTACTACACCGTCTAGGTAAAAAAAACCAACGTCGGTGGACGTCAGACCAAACTCCACTTTCATGGATCATGTAACCAGGCCAATAAATACCCAAAACTTCACGAATTCGTTTATATTCATTGACCCAACTCAAATGACTAACCTAAAACCTAGAATTAGGTTCGTTCAATAACGCAAAAAAAACGACTTACTTGGCCTTTAGTGGTTATAGCCTTAACATACATGGGATTATTAGTTTCAAAAGCACCGCTAGGAGTCGTCCATTCTTTTCCCATTGACCCCACATACAAAATCTCGTCTTTTACAGTGGCCCATTCTGACTTAAACCCCTTTGATGTCCTGTAAAAAATCAAGTAGGATTTGTCCATGTTTTTGCCCACTTCACCTTCCATCCCCGTCCATTAGAAGAAGCCACGGAATGGCTTTATCATTTATAATTTCGTAAACAAGTCCTGTTCTGTCCTCAAACGTGAGGAGTCTTCCATCAAAAACCACCAATTCGGACAATTCCATTCCTCTCCCTTTTGAAGCATAACTCGTGGTTAATTTTACGGGACTTGTGCGGTCCCATGTGACCACAACCGTCCGTCTAGTGGGACTATAACTCAAATAGCCTTTCATAAAGTAGGAAAACCAGACGTTCTTTTCTGCTGGACTTTTAGAATTTGTGTCTAAATCAGCAATAACACCTATCCGAAACGTATGCATTGAATTAGTTTTAATGGGACTAGTTAGCGGATAAGTGTAGTTGTAAGTACTACTTCTGAGTACGCTACCGGAACTGCCCCCCTTTCTGGGAAACATGTACAAGAGTATTAAAGCAAAAAGGCCGATGAAGGCTACGATTGAAATAAATTGAGTTTGACCACGTATGGTCCGATTGACTATCCTATAAGCAGGTTGCGACCTTAAAGCTTTTCTCCAATCTCTTGAATTGGCCATTTCTTCGTCAGATAACAGGTGCATACGAAGGTGATTTGGTTCCATGAGTTTGGTACTTGAAATTATCACAAATGAGGCTGGACTGGACTAATTAATCTTACACGTAGCATTATCACATTAATTCCTTAATACTTAAATTTTAAAATATTGCTACTTAACCTAAATATGTCAACTTGACACTTTGGTGAGGTGGCAACACAGGTTGGCACCCCTTTCAGGAGAAAATCGGGAAAAATAATTACTTTTTTAATGCAATAATCCCAGTCACCATAGAATTTACATATGTTTTACTTTACATTTGTATGTTTAAAATTTTTTAAGTTCCCAAAAGAGTTAAAGTGGGTACCAACCCCGTATGTAAAAAACTTCTAAAAGCCAGACTGTCAACAATATTGGCACCCCTCTTGGGGAAGATTCGGGAAAAATAATTAATTTAGTGTAATAGTCCTAGTTAAGATATTATTTATGTATGTTTTACGCCATAATTGTTAATTAATTGTGTGTTAAGTTTTTCTTAAGTGCCTAAATGTGTTTGAGTGGGTACCAACCCCGCATGTAAAAACTCTCTAGCGTCAGACTGTCAACAACTGTGTGAAAATGGCTGTGTTAGCGGCAGCTCAGCTTCTAGACGAGTTAATGGGGCGAAATCGCAACGTGGCCCCTAACGAAAAGGTCAAAGAATTGAATTGGGAGGACCCGGAAGTGAGTTTTATCAAATTTAGCCTTTTTAACAAACCTAACCTCACACTTCCAGTACTGTAAATATTTCATGGTAAAATTCTGCCCTCACGACTTATTTGTGAATACTCGAGCCGATTTGGGCGCCTGTTCGAAAGTGCACGATGAGGAAATCCGTAAAATGTTCCAACAAGCGAAACCGCATCGCAAAATCCACTACCAGGAAGAATTTATCAGATTTTGCTCTTCTATGATAAATGAAGTTGAACGTAAAATACAAAAGGGCAAAATGCGACTAGCCTTGAGCGGTAAAACTGAGTTGCCGTCGATATCGCCAGCACAGTCTCAGAAAAACCAGGAACAGATTAAAATCCTAAATGAGCGAATTAATGGCCTGGAGGCTGAGGCAGAGCAAGCTGGGACTGACGGTAACGTCGAGCAGGCACAAGGCTTGATGAAACTGTGCGACCAGTTGAAAGAAGAGCGCGATTCGTTGCGAAAACAAATCGAAAATGGGTATTTAAACGAATTTTTGTCGATTTTTGTATTTAGGCTTGTTTTAGGCATTGGAACGCCACAGCTGAGTTGGCGGCGGCCCAAGAGAAACAAATGGAAGTGTGTCAAGTCTGTGGGGCGTTTCTCATCGTCGGGGACGCCCAACAAAGGATAGATGACCATTTAATGGGCAAACAACACGTGGGTTTTGCACGTTTGAAATCCGCTCTGGAGGAAATCACAGCTGTGGTCCAAGCCGCTAAAGAGGAGCGCCGCTCCGGCCGGAGTAGCCGTGAATCCGAGCGTGAGCGCGAACGAGACAGAGATAGGGAGAAACGACGTGAATTGGAACATAGTCGCTCAGAACATAGGTATAAATCATTTAAACGAAACACAGGTGTTAATAAATTTTGACAGGTCGGATAAAGACAAGGAAAAGGAGAGGAGAGATAAGGAGAAGGAACGAGAAAAGGAACGGAAAGAAAGGAGAGATAGAGAGGCACACAGGACGAAAGAGAGAGAACGCGAAAGGGAGAAGGAGAGGGAAAGAGACCGGAAACATCGGGATTCCGGTGGGACTTCAAATCGAATTTTTTTTTTTTTTGAGATGTAGTGTTTTGTTTTTTAGGGAGGAGTCGTCACCACCAATACAGACGCTGATTGGTTTTCTCTTAGACCAGTAAGATCAAGCAATCCAGGTAGGTGGCTTTCTAGGGTTTTTTAAATTTTTCTTTCAGCTCCACAGGTTAGTGATTGCATAAGTGACCTTATTTTTTGTTTTAAAAAATTATAACTTGCGAATCGAACAAAATTTGTGGAATTCTTTAATTTTATAAGAATTTCACTAAATACAACAATTGGATAATAAAATTAATAATTGTGTAATAAACATAAATCGTCCAATTGTTGTTTTTGCTTTGGCGGTGTTTTTAATGCGAGAGGCAGGAAACGGTTGACTCCATTTTTGTTTCTTATAAGTTTTCAGCTGTATTCAGGTATCGATCGAGATGGTGTCGCCACTTGGTCGCACTCACACATTCGGTTGTTTTTGTACTTACCTGACATTTTAAAAGAGGTATTTATACATTGCACATAGGAGTATTGCTCCATGCGACGTCGGTTTTATCCTTGTTCGAAAAAAAAAAATTGGTAGATGCTGAAAATGGGGCTAAAATCCGACGTTCGCTGTATTAGTTCAAATAACGCCGTTGTACTCGAGGTATTTATCACGTGTTTGGAGGAAAAGTCTTTAATTTACATAGAATTGATGTTTGATGGTTGTGTTAGAGACATTTCGTCCGAATTAGTCGGTCAAATCATGAAAAAAAACGCCCCCTGTATAGTATCAGCGTCTCATCACTGGTCTGGATTTTTGCAGTTGGCTACAAACAGGTGAGGTGTCGAGGTCTCCGACTGGCGTTTGGTCTTCTGTGCAATGAGGTGATGATTGTGTTTCCATTACATTAAATTATTTTCCCGTTCCAAATGGAAGCACAGTTTTTTATACTCTTGTAAATTATTATAGGATAGGTTATGTTAATTGTGACAATTTACAAATAAAATTAGCAATACTGTTACCACTGTTTTCTTTTCAAACCTAAAACGAGTGAAGTAAGCCGTTTTTTAATGTTTTATTCTCAGTTTAAAGTTACTAAATACAATAATTTACATGAGTTTCGGTTAAAACTGATCATTAAAAATAGAAACAAAGACAGTTCTGCTATAGACAGAAAGGCACGGATAGAAGAAATGATCTAGGAAAGCACCTACGAGGGGAAATTCGTTGAATTTCTCCAAGTTTCAGCAAATTTCCCTGTAGAAATTCAATTCGGAAATGTCTAATCTAAAAGGGGGACCAAAAATATCACAGACTGCCCCAAATTTCAACTTGTAACTAGAAAAACCGACACTAATCAAGCTCGAATTAGATTTTGATTAGGGTCGGTTTTCAATAAAAAAACTTGTAACAAAAAATAACATCACACGAACTATGTTTTTTTTTTAATTACATTGTTTTAAGTTGAGTTGTTTATTTACTCCTATGAGAAGCTCCTGGAAGGCGAAGTTGAGATTGTCGATTTAAAAGTTGTTTCCCACAAATTATTGCCCCATAGAAACACTGAATCTCGAAACTATGACACAAAATTGACTAGTTTAAGCAGATTTTGATTTTTCTATGGTTTAATTACAATAATTAGTTATTATCCGAAGTTTCAGTGCGAGTATTTAACATTGAAACTGTCTAATTACATGCCCGGTTTAATGGAGAGTAATTTACTCTACTTTTAATCTATCTAATAGTTTACGTTACTGTTTTAATCTAGTCGTTTAGTTGTTTCGATTAAGTAGCCGGGCGGCCATTTTGTGTCGACGGCAAGATGGCCGCCCGCTCTTTACTCTAGTTTAGCTAAACACAAGTCGGGTGGCTTTGAAATAATACAAGGTGTCAACGAAACGGGCCACCCGAGAACTAATCCTAATGATTCGTAAGCACCAAATCTATACTAATTGTATTTTGCAAAGACCCTGTATATTGTATCTGATATTGGAGTCGCTAGAGACGAGACTTTCTGCCAAATGTGTGACATTTTTAGTTTGATTTTTTTAAAATTATTTTCACAATTCCTACCACGTTTCAACAAGTGTACAAAATACTAAACCATTGACTACAGATATGTAAAAATAAAACCATAGGCTAGAAAACCGACTTTTTACACATGCTATTTACAGATATAAAAATAGGTAACTAGGGAAGAATCACACGAATTATCAAAAAACTAACACTGATTTTCGTTTTCACTGTCTGTTTTTTCTCGTTGTTCGTCCACTAAGTTCTCTTCACTACCGTGTGTTGTAACATCGAAAATGTCAAACTCGTTGAACTCTTTGAAATTTTCGTCGAGTTTTCTTCGTTCGGTGATAATCCTTTGAACGCTTTCCTGGCTATCGTGTTTCGGTAATTTCAATTCCTTTTCTTCGGTTTTATTGACTTCGACTTGAATTGGGGGCACTTGCAAAAATGGCGTTTCTTCCGTTATCTCCATTGATAATTGTTTCGTAAATAGGTGTTTGGTACTTCCGTAAAATTTCGGTTTGGGGTCTACCGGAAGTGACAATCGATTGTTTTCGTTTGTTTCGTTGATTCTCTTCAAAGGAAATCGTTCTTCCGTTTTTGGGACTCTTAATAATGTCTCGGTTTGGTTCAAAGATATGATTTCGTCTAGATTTGTTTGCATTTGTTGTCTATGATTTTTCTCCACTCCCTCACACTTGTACTCCTGGATGCTATAAATATCCGAAAGCGACTCATCTATATTCCTAATATCGTCCAAATTGAGTAAAGTGATTGGTTGGTGGCTGTGTAAAGTCTGTCTTCTCGTCTGCGTAAACGACGGTTTCCGCTCTAGAGTCACTTTACTCCCCGGAGGATTGTAAGTGAAATTCGATGGCAGTGACAGTACTTTAGTGAGTGGTTTACGCTGTCTTTGACACTCCTGATCCATCTGAAGTGCCAGACACAACTCCCTTTTCTCCTCCATCTCCTGTTTCTCCTGAAATTCCCTCTCAATCTGATTGTCCAAATCCTGCTCGTCCTCCAAATGTTTATGACTCTCCTCCAAATGTTTCATCAAAACCTACGCAAGAATTAACCCAAATCGATCCAAAAACACCCACTTACCGCAACCACGACATTAACCAACACGAATTGCGCCATTAGGACGAAAATTACGAAGAAAATTGGGGCGATTATTTTGGAAACGCAACAATTGGTCACGCATTCGGCCGCTTTATCACAGTTTTCGTCACTGAGAGTGTCCTTCATAATGCCGTTCCAGTTGTCACCAGTGGCCACGCGGAATAACGTCAGAAAGGCCATACCGAAGTTTTCGAAGTGGGCGTGCTCTCCAAGACCTGGGGAATTTTCTACATGATTTTAATAAATTAGAAATACCAACCTTGGCAGTTGTTCTTCTTGCAGTCCAACCGGCCAAAAAGTTCAACTCCAAGGGCGGCAAAAATGAAAAACAGGAGAAAAAACAATAGGCCTAAATTGCCAACTTGGGGAAGGGCTTGCATGACGGTGTCGAGTAGTGCCCTAATCCCTTTTGCCATTTTAAGGAGTTTCAGAACTCGGGCTATTCGCATGACTCGCATCACTCGTAAAACAGTTGGGTTTATAGGGATTATGTTTGATTTTAATTCCTCTAAAACGATCCCAACTACTGACAAAATAACAATGACAATGTCCAGGATGTTCCATCTGTCTTTAATGTAGAGCACTGAACCCAAAGCGATGATTTTCATGGTACTTTCAAGGATAAACACCGCAGTGAAGAAGTAGTTGAAGATTTTTAGTACGTAGCTGAGGATGGGTGGCATTCTGTAGCTTTCGGTGGCCATTGTGACGACATTTAACCCAATGACGGCAGCAATAGCCAAATCGAAGTACTTGGAAGTTACCACGTTGTGAATGAAGAGTCTCCAAGGGGCGTAGTTGATGTAATAAGGAGGTTCATTCATTTCTGAAATTTGAGAATTATGCGTTCGCAAACACCACCCAAAATCCCTTACTTCGTCTCCTTTTTTCCAACTGGAGTGCCCTTTTGGCCGCTCTTCTAACCCTTTCCTCCTTCTCTTGTTCCTCTCTGCACCTATGAAAATTCTCCACAACCACCCCAACAAACATATTGAGTACAAAAAACCCCACTAGGAGTATAAACGAGATGAAATACAACAACCTCCATTCCGAGTAGTTCACAATGGGTTGCTGGTCAAGTCCAACCGCATCCAACCCATTGTACATGATGTTTACCCAACCATCGCGCGAACTCAACACGAAAAGTGACATTAGGGCTTGTCCCAAATCATCGAAGTTGTATTTCTGGTTCGCCCATTGGTACTTCCGGCTATCACAGTCGTTTCTGGTCACTATACCGGTCAAATTCTCCCCCACGCAATGGTAGAAGGAACCTTTGAACAGTTGTACACCCAAAATCCCGAAAATGATGAAAAAAGTACAACAAATAAGGACAATGTTTCCGATGGGTCGCAATGACGATAGCAGCGTTTGGACGACGAGTTTGAGTCCTGGCGCCCGGTTTATGACCCGTAAGGGGCGCAGGGAGCGCAAGAGGCGGAAAACACGCAAAATGCCGAAAATTCGGGGGCTGTTGGAACGGATCAGAGACATTAGTAAGTCGACGATTGATATGATGACGAGGGAGCCGTCCATGATGTTCCAGCCGGAGGTGAAGTACGCGTTGGGGCCGTAACACATCCCCGAAGCGACGACCTAAGTGTGGTGAGACTTATTTTCAAATTTTTTAATTAGTTTTTTTTTTACCTTGACAAACATTTCGATGGTGAAAACTACAGTAAAAATATAGTTACAAGTCGAGAGAAAAAACCGTTCGTTACTATCGGGCGGAATGTTGGGTCTTTCCATGGCAAGGGTGATGCAATTCATAGCGATGAAAAGTAAAATGGTATTGTCGAACCACTTTTGATTGACGAACCAATAGCACCATTGTCGGAACCTACAAGCAATCAAATACAATTCTTGTGTGTTTCCCCTGGTTTGGGTACCTGTTCTCGTGTGGGAATATATACAAGGAGAAGTCCTCGCGTTCCTTGAGACACCCTGTGGGTTCACATATCCGTATCAATTTTTTCAAGCCGGTTATCCTGGTTGGTTCTTCGCTGGGAATGCAGTCCTCCATCTTGATTTTGGGGAGGGTCCGTTCTGGGAGAGACTTATCGTTGAGACTGTTGACCGATTTCGGTTCATTCTGAGTGGATTTCCTCGATAGAGTCGGACTGCTACATTTGTTGATCTGTGTGTTAATTTTCGATTGGGTTATGGTCGACGTGACTAAAGAATTGTGACGTGTTAAGGTGGGTGCGGTGGTTACCTACAAGACGTTTTTTAGTCTCCTATCACTCGTGGTTTGGTGGTTTTACTTGTGAAACAGAGCTGTAAGTGTTTGATCTACATCTAATGGAGTTTTGGGGACTTAACCCTTTGGCACTCCGGTTGTTTGGAGCATCTCGTTGGGTATCGTTTTGGATTCGAATGGATGATTGTAAAAGCGAGTCGTTGCGCAAACTAGCCTGAAAGCAGACGTGCCAAAAGCAAGCTCGCGATTGTGAAACTAGAAAAAGTCGGTTCTTTTTCTATCTGCATTTTCATGAATTTACCCACTTAATGTACAATAATAAACTATTTTGAAGCTTTAAAGAGTTTGAATTGTTTTTATTACAAAATACAAAAAAGTATAAAATTCGCTTGAGGAGAAACTTTACAACTCTTTTATATTAACAATGATTGGAGTAGCTTACCTTTCTAAAAAAAGAGCATGTAAAACGTTTAAAAAATCTTTTAGACAGTTAACCGGATATGTAATGTCTTTAAGTATTCTTATGTTGTTATACAAGGTGCGCCAGAACTCGCGCCCCAGAGAAAATTTTCAACTAAGGTAAGATAGCAGGAACATGAAAAAAATGTTTAAAAAAATTCTATTTTTATTCATATCTATTTAATGACACTGTTGATCTTGTATATGTTTTTTTACAATTATTTAGTAAAGGGACAAAAATTTTGCCAATAAAAGCCACAAATAATATTGAACAGAGTTATAATTTAAGATGCAGCTTCCTTGTTTCCTCTTTTAATAGCCTATAGCAAAAAAAAACTTGGAAAATTATTTTTCCAACAGAAATAAATACAGTCAAAGTGCAAACTTTAAACATTTTTTCCATGTTCCTGGTATCTTACCTTATATAGCATTTTTCTCTGGGGCGTGAGTTCTGGCGCACCTGTATATTATATATCTTATATTGTATGAAATAAACAATAAAAAAGTAACAAAAAAAGAATATCATAAAAACAGAAAGACTAATAATATACAGGATGCGCCAGAACTTGCGCCCCAGAGAAAATTTTCAAGTAAGGTAAGATACCAGAAACATAAAAAAAATGTTTAAAAAATTCTATCTGTCAAAAAATTTTGGCATTTATTTTTTGACATTTGACATTTTTTTATATCTATTTAATGATACTGATGATCTTGTATATGTTTTTATACAATTACTTCGTAAAGAGACAAAAATTTTGCCAATAAGAGCCACAAATAACATTGGACAGAGTTACAATTTAAGATACAGCTTCCTTGTTTCCTCTTTTAATAGCCTATAGCAAAAAAACTTGGAAAATTATTTTTCCAACAGAAATAAATAGAGTTAAAGAGCAAACTTTAAACCCTCATTCATAACTTCGAAATTTTTATAGATAAAATTTTTTTAACATTTTTTCTATGTTCCTGGTATCTTACCTTATATGGCATTTTTCTCTGGGGCGCGAGTTCTGGCGCATCCTGTATACACATCCCTTTTTTTTGTAAACGCATTTTTTTAACTGTTTAAAGATACACAGGTCGCCAAAATTAACCGGACAACTAAAATTTTGCGATTATTTACATTGCAATATTTTTGTTATTTTTTGTCGTATTTCGACGAATTTTTTTTCGACTTAAAGAACGAATTGCAAAATATTGTAATTTAATTCAATAACATTTCAAGTTTTGTCTTGTTAATGTTATACCTAAAAACGAGAGCACTGTTTTTTTACTTTTTTTTGATACTGAGCTGTAGTGTGCAACAGAGAATTAATTAAGTTTTTATTTATTTCAGATTATTGCCCGTTCTTTTATACATGAGGACCAATTTGTTTCAAAATTTTATCTTCTGGTGCCTCAGAGATATAAAGCATTGAAACAGACGTTGCTTTTCTAATGTTACTAAATATTCGTTCAGAAAGTAGGCTACATAAAAATATAATTAAACGGAAAATTATTGCTTATGTCACCAAAAGAGCACAATTACGTCTTTGAACACAAAAAATCTGAAAAACTTGCAACAAGACTTACAACAAGTAAGTAAAACGGTTAATTATTGGAAGCTTCCATTCGCCTATTTTGACGTTTTGGCACATTCGACCTATTTAATACGAACATTCATTGAAATCGGAAATGTTATGCTTTTTTTGAAAGTTTATATCTCTCATGTCTCAAAAATTAAAATTATGGAAAATGTGGTACATAATTCAGAAAAGAATGGACAATAATCTGAAATCAGCAAAAACTTATTAAGTTTGTCTCTGACGCATACCACAGCTCAGTATAAAAATAAGTAAAAAAACAGTGCCTTCGTTTTTTGAGTATCACATTTAGAAGACAAAACTAGAAATGATCTACAAAGTTTTTTTTTAAGCGAAACAAAAATTTGTTGAAATCCGACAAAGAATAACACAAATATTGCAACGTGAAAAATCGCAAAATTTTAGTTGTCCGGTTAATTTTGGCGGCTAGTGTATAAAAAAAAATAGAAACAGCTTTAAATCTCATCCGAATTCTCTATTTTTGGATCTATTGAAAATTCCACTGTTTTTGTTCTAAGAAAAATTTTATTGTATACGAATAAAACAAAAGAATTGATTCGAATCCTTTTCGGTCCAAATCTAAATACATATCCTGATAATTTCAGGATCAGTAACTTTTCATACGGATCTAGATTCGCTTGAAATTATTATTACATTTCCGTTATTTAAATTTTTTTGAAGAAGGTAAATTTCAGAAAATGCAGGTGGGGATAAGTAGTTATAATACTTATAATACATAGTTGAAAATTAAAAATGAGGTCAAATACGAAAATAAATAATTATATGTAGTATATTTAAGTATTTACAAAATTGGGTCAATGTAACCATCAAGCGTCAAGGAAAATTAAAATTTACTTTGAAAACAAATAAAAAATTAGTATATTTATGTATTTACAAGCCTCAAAGGAAAAATAGATTTACTTTGAAAATTATTAAAAATTAAATAAAAAATGTCTTACATGTCTACTGACGCCCCCGCCATTGCACTGCGAATGATCCCTCCCGTTGTTCAAAGGCACAGCTTCCGAATCCGATCCACTCCTATTTTTCTTCCGTCTCAAACTCGGCCGATTTGTCAATTTCCACGAGCATTTCCTCTGGATTTTCCCCTTGTCTTGACTTTTCTCTTTCGGCAAAGCAACTTTCTCGGAAAACGTCATGATTTTCGAGCCGATTTTCTCATTATGTATCACGATTTTTCCGCTCAGGGGTGGCGGCTGCTCTTCTTCTAAAGTCCTCTCGAATTGACGGAATGTCAGCGGGGGCGGCGATAGCGACGGCGGTTTTAGCAAACTCAAACTCTGCAAAAAAGACTTTGGGGGTTGGAAATTGAGAGAATTGTTCCGTACTGATGTCTTTTGTGTCGATTCGGTCGTCGATACGCCCCCAGGACTGCTGTCACTGCCAGAAGGACAGTCGAGGGTCACCGTTGTTACATTGTAGCGGAACTCGGGGAAGTCATCCAAGGTCGTACTGGGGGAGTCTTGAGGGGTGGCGGCGGTGTGGGTGATGATCGGGGGCGAAGTCTGCAATTATTGGTTCAAACTTTATTGTCTTGAATAAAATTTTAAATTGGTTTTATGCTCTACTAGGTCATTTGTCTTTGCATGATGGATAAATAAAAAGCTATAAAAATCGGATCTAGTTTATTGGCTTTGATTCTATCAAATTACCACTAAAATGCAAATTCAAATTTTCATAAAAATTTTATCACTACATTCGTTGCACAATGTTATTGCCAATTGTAGTTTTATGAGGATTTACTAGAAAAAATGCTAGAAATTCCAAATGGAAAACTGAAGTGATCTGAAAAAAAAAAATTACCTGTCTTGAAGGCTGTTTCAGCATTGACTCTTTCTGAATGTTGCATTTCGGTTCCAGAGGCCCTTGAATATCTATGAAACCGCAATCTTTTTCAATAAGTTTTTCCCGACAGTTGCAATTTATCAATCCTATGGACGCCCTATGCTCGTTGAAATCTTTAACTTTTCTTAGTTCTTCAGCTGATCTCCAACAGTTTTTCGTGTCCTGAAAATCTTAGTTATACCTCATCTTTCAAAATTTTGGCGGGCAAACCTGTATGTAGCTTCCACTAGAACTCGACACCGACCTGCTGGTCTCTTCAGAACTCCCCCTGAAGCTCGCTTCCAACATACACGACATTTTCCTCCTGGCCATTTCCCTCTGTTCCCTCTCCCTCCTTTCGTTTCTTTCCGCACTGAATCCTTCCACCAGAATCGCAACCAATAAATTAAACAAAACGTAATTCCCGAAAGTCATCAGTGCGACGAAATAAAGTGCGGCCCAATGTGATGTCTTGGCCATTCCGTTTGAAAGAACGACATTCCAATCTTCTTGCGTCAAAATCTAAACAATGAGTTAAAATAATTTAATTTGGTGGTTGTTAAAGTGTGAGGAAAAGAAACGGTAAAGTGTCTCACTTGAAATACTGTGACTGTGGCCCAGAGAAAATTGTTGAAGTGCTTGCGATCACACTCGCATCGCTCGTCATTTGTGACGATCATATGGCATGTGCACTCTTTAATGCTTCCATCTTCAGCTCTATAGTTGCAAAACTTACCGCCAAAAAGGTACATCCCCAGAATGCTGCCAAAATCATGACGTCAAAAAAGAACTTGTTTATTTTGTTAAGCTAGAGCTAATCTATTTTCTAGTGTTTCGTGGTGTGTTATTTTGTTAAGTTTTTGCACAATCTACGCTAATTTTGTGAGCTACTTTCTAATCTACTGGAACTACTGTTGTGTTTCTGTATGACTGGACAAAAAACACACCATAGCAGGGGTGACATATTGATCGAGTACACAATATAAAAACATTAGCAGAAATCGTGAAATTCAAGCGAAAGAAGTGAAATGTGAAAGTGCCAGGGATTAGTCAATTTTCATGCAGAAAATTCGAAAGGAAAACTACCAAAAATCACCTACCTTTCTGTTGCGATTAATTTTCAAATTAGAATTAGTAACGTTCAGTGCTATTTATTGAAAATTCGGTTGATTGAACGATAAATAGCACTGTTGGATGAAATAAATTTGAATTTAAATACCTGAAAAACGGTAACAAGTGCCCACAACAGGGAGTCAAAATTTTTTCGATCTTTGTCCTCGTCTTGGTCAGATAAACATTTTGTGTTATCGTCATATTTCTCGCAAAACTTGCACCCGAACAGATTCATACCGAGGATACTAGAACATCCCAAAAATCGTTCAATTACAAATCTTGTATTGCTTGTGATATTTTGGAATGTTTCGCTGTATTATTCAGTGCACTGGTCCGCCCTTAGAAGTCAATTTTGTATGTTTATGTTGTCGACTTGTAAAAGTGGAGTGCAGCCAGCGGGGTATGTACAATATGTGCTGTCTAAAGTAGGTGCTAATGTAAGATAAGAAACAGAGAGAGTGTAGAGTATAGTGATGTGGAAACGACGATAATCTAACACCAATAAACCAAATAAAATTTCTAACAAAGGGTAATCAAATGCCACCCCTACCACCCCCTCCTGTCGTCTCGTGTTAAAGTGGTTTGTTTCAGTGGTGGTGGTGTTAGATCCGACACCGGTTCTAACTTACCTGAAGATAAAAATAAAAAGGATAAGAAGTGAGAAGAATACAGCGACATTATCCATCGTTCGTAACATTACAAACAACTGGCGACGTAAATTTGGCATGAACCTGACCAGTTTTAATATCCTCAATAAGCGAAATGTCCGCAAAACGGACAAACCTGAGTCGGTGTGAGACTGACCAAGAAATTTTTGAAACAGCTCAATGCCACTAAAACTCACATTTTATACCACACAATCACCAATCGTCCAATTACCTCAAAACCACGATAATCCCATCGAAAACATTGAACCCATTTGAAATATACCCAAACAAACCATCGGCTATGATTTTTAGTAACATTTCCACGGCAAAAATTGCCGAAAAAATCACATTACTAGTCTCGACTAGATGGGTCAAATAATCCGGTTGGTTGTGATACTCGATACCCATCGATAACGTATTGATCAAAATCGCTAGTAAAATACCCTGTTGGAAGTACCGATGCTCGACTAGGAGCTTGATCTTCCGTCTGAAATATTTCACCCCCTTGATAAACCCCTTCAAGGCCATACAACACAAGATGTAAAGTCTTGACCGCTTCTCATTCTTATACTCGGATTCACAATGCCATAAATCTTGACAACAACTGAAGTCATCATCGGGTAATTGCTGCATGTATAATTCTTCAGTGTTTCGGCTTCTGTTAATGCCTTTTGTTAAAGAACTAAAGAACGTGTCAAGGACTATTTGACCGGTCGGCAAGGCGGCATTTATAGCCCCTAAGGCTAGCAGTTCTTGACACGTCATTGCCTCTCCGTTCATTAGCTCGCAACAATCTTGAGCGATTTGCTGCTGGGTTTGCAGAATTTGTTGTTGGTTTGGCACCGACGAGATTTGCCAAATGTTGCCATCGCCTGCAATTGTGTGAGTAGGGAGAGCGAAACTAACCCCCACCACAAGTAGTGGGGGTAAACTTGCGTCTACTCACCGGCTTGCGTTGTCTTCTCGCTAGAGCAGACATTTTTTTCGTTCTTTTTATCGAGATTGGAGGACGAACTGGGCGATGATTCGTCTCCGTGTAAGACAACAACATCGCTAAACATCACAGAGGACCTCCTCCGGTTACTGGGGACGCAAGGTGGCGAAAGCAAATTCGTAGGACTCTGAAACATGTGTCAATTTCTCGTAGTGTACTCGACCCACTTACATCATTATTATTAGTTGCAATCTCTTGATTCGAGGCTGAGGGCACTTTGAGCAGATTCGGCCTCTTGAATTCCACTTCGTCGCTTCTATTCTCACTCAAACACACCGAACTCCTCCTGGAAACGGCCCGAGTACTTGGCACGCTTTGGGGTTGCTACACAAACACACCGTCGCGATTAATTTGCATAAAAGGGTGATACTCACGTTGTGCCGAAGGCGGGGACAATTAGGGTGGTGTCTTTTCGCGTAATTAAGTCTTATGGTCTCGCCGGAGATCATTTTGCGTTCGCGACGTTGCTCTCGCCGCACTCGGAACAGTCTTATTTTTTTCAAAAGGCGTCGTTTGCTGCGCCGCCACAGATGGGCGATGTATTTGACGATTTCGGCGTAGCAACTGGTGGGCTCGCTGTTGTTGGTGGAGGAGGCCAAAGTGCTGCTGCTTTGGAAGCGGGCCCTTTCTAGACGCATTCGCTCCATTTCACGTTTTTTCGTTTCGGAAAATTGGGTCGCAATGACGACCAAACAGAGGTTTATCATGAAAAATGAACCGATCTGGAAGCAGGATCAATTTCGGAAAAACTGAGGCGATTTTTCTCAAGAAATTACCACAATTAACAAAACGAAGTAAATCCAGTCCCAGAAACTGTGTGCATCTTGAACATAATACATAATATCCGTCCACCCTTCAAGGGATATTACCTGGAAAATGAGTGTCGTAAAACATGCCCCTTGAACCTGGATATTTACCAAAAATATAGACACCCAAGCCAATCCTATATTATCGAAAGAGATGGTTCCTTGAAACGGATTCGGTCCTTTATCATGACACTCCGTGTAATAAAGATTCCAATTAATACATTGCGAATCGTTGTTTACATATTTCGGATCGTAGAGTTTCTGATCGATGGTCAAGTTACACATTATTGAGTTGTTAAAGTATTCAGGTAAAGAACCACAAATGTGCATTCCAGATTGCTCCGGTTTGCTGCAAATGTATTCTTGGTCTTGTTGAAGCTTGTAAAAACGGGATATGTCGCTGAAAATAAACATTTTTAAAGAGAAATGTCTCGAAACGGGTGTCGGTGTGCTAAAAGATAATGAAATCAAGAGAGATAACTGCTCCCGGGTTCTTTGAAACTATTTCACATTCAAATTTGCGTTTATTGCAATCATTGGGAGTAGTAAAAGCGGAATTAACCTACCCCCCCCCCCCATGCTAAAAAAGTGGAGGAGTGAAATGCATCTCTACTCAACTTAAACTTGTTTAATAAATTCAATAAATGTCAAAGCAAATCTTGTTTTCTTTGTGATCTCAATTTACAGCGAGCTTATTTAAAATAGCATCTGCGAGAAAATTCAATTAGAAAGTTTTAATGTTTTCATTTAAATAATTCGAATCAGGAGAAAAGACGTCTGATTATCTCCACATTAAAGCTGTTTTCTCGTTTAAAACTTTTTCATTTCTTTGAGGAGCTTCACGAAGGAAAAAAATCGTAAAGTCTGCGGCTATAAATTCGGTCGCTAAACCCAAATCGTGTCTTTTACAAGCACTAAAGGTGTGAAGTGTCAGGATAATAAATATAGGGAGTGGTGCGACAGCGCGTTGAATTTTTGCGTCTTGTCCCAGTTCTGAATCCTGGTTTTTGTTTGTTTAATCTAGTGGATAAATGGATAATGTCTGAGACAAACTATTGTTTTGCTGGAACAATAGACAATGAGATTTAAATTAAATTCTCACACAAAAAATCGGTTTATTGTTGACGAGAGAAAGGTAGCTAACCGCATCAACATTGTACATTTAGGTGCGAGTATGCGATTTAATTATTTACGGAATGCTCAGAATGACTTTCTTTTTCTCTAGAGGTTGGCCAAAAAAGCCAGAAACGACAAACTTATTGATTTGAAAGTTTTTATTGCCGTGAATGTAAATTTTCAGTGTGCGATTTCAGCAAATTCCATTTATCATATTAGAGTAAGTGTGGGGTATGGAAATTGGCTGAGGTTTCAGCAGGTCTCAAATCCTGCTTTATTTGAGTGTTTAATTGAGCACAGCTATAACAATGAAATTAATCTAAAGTTTGTGCTCGCGCTGTCGCAGGTTGAGGGGCAATAAAAGACGTTTGATTGGATTTTTATTCATTAACATTTCCACTTTTTAACGATTCATTTGGGGAAATTTTAAGGTTTTAAGGTTGTGTACATGTCAAGCGCGACTTTGCTTATAAATCTTTGGTAAATCCCTCACGTCATAGCCGTTTTCCCGGAATGATACAAATTTGACGGTTTGTCTTGAGAGAAAATAAAATTTTTGAAACGTTTAACGAGGAAGGAGGACATGCATTATGTTTGTGCGGAACTATTTTCAACGATTGTCGATTCCTGAGCCGTAGGGGGCAATTTCCTCCAGAACGGTGCTTTAATGGAATTTCCATTGTTGAGTATCGGTTCGTGCCGTTTAGAACCACTTCCGTACACTGTACAAATAGAATGGTGAGAATAGATGTCAGAGTAGAGTAAATGAATATTTTGCAAACAAGAAGCGAGTGGAAACTTTCTTGTTTGCGTTGACACGATACGAAAAACCGCTAAGATTGATAACGTCTAACAAAGGTTCTGAAGATTTATTGAAATTGTTTTAAAATTACCATTTACTAATAATAATTTTAAGTTCAAATGTACAAAATTTATTAGGGGTATTTAGATGGGTAATAAATAACACTATTTTTTATCAGACTGATTAGAGTTTGATAGTTCATTAAAATTGCACTTAACCTGCTTTTTAAAAAAGTATGATAAGTTTTATTTATTTTTTAAATTCCTATAGCCTCGGATGGCCTATAAAAGGGAGTGTCAAGTTTGAATTACATATGTGGTTTAACCAACAGTCATTTTCAAAAATGCTGTCTAGTAAATTTTTATTTAAAATTGTTTTCGTTGTATTTATAATAACTTCAATAATGTTTGGAGGTTCTGTGGCTCGCAGACTTGATTCGGAAGACTTTGGGATATGATGATGCTGCTATATGAGGTAGGTATTAAATATGATTAAAAGATTTTATTTTAATTCTTGTTTCTAATGGGCATTTGTTTGTAGATTATCAATTTCCACATCGGTTGCAGAAAAATTTCCAAAATTAATCTGTGAAAAATATAAATGAATAAAGATTAAAAAAAAATCTGTTTATTTTCCCCAAGTAGATATTTTGTTTTGTAAAAAACTAAAAGTCTTAGTTACGCAAGAATCAAGTGTGAATTGTGAAGAAAATGTATTATCTGATTATTTATATTTTGTCACACTACCTAATCGCCATAAAAAAATAATTATGGTCAATTTCTAGAGTTAATGTTTCAAAAAGCGCATTTAAAAAATTGGGCTAATGTTTAAAAGATTGCTTCAACTTCTAAATTCACATTTTTTGTAACATTTACAAAATGGCAATGAAAAAGTTATTGTTTGCAAAATTTCTGCTTGCAATTTCCGTTCTGACCTCCATTTTTTATGGAATTTCTGCAGCCACACGCACAAGTACATATTATATAGGGTGTTTCAACAAATTGGTAAAATCAGTTTTCAAAAATGTTCAATTTTCAAAAATATGTGTACCAAACCTATAGGTAAATGCGCCAGTGGTCGACCAGCTAACTTAATTTTCGTCTTAGAGGAAGGCCAAAAATTGGTTTTACGTCAAATTATCTTAGTGTTTGTATTTACAGTAGTCATACAGTTTATAGATTAGACTCTGCAATATTATTTTACTTAATTATATTATTAGTAGCAAAAATTCTTTCTTTCTTTTAAATTTAAATTTTAATATTATATAAACTTAATATTTTTTTAATGGAATCCTATGTTTTTTTTTTGCTTTTTTGGATGTAGCTTTTAATTTTGAAGAACGAACTGTAACTGTAAACTATAAAGTAATAGATTGTTAAATAATCTATATAAAAAAAAAACTTTTAAATGTCTAGATTTATTAAAAGATAAAAAGATGTTTAACTTTGTGTACTTGCATTTTAACATTTAATATTTAAAGGTTAATGAGTGACTTTACCACCTCGCTGACACCCAGTATATTAAATAATTAAATATTGAATAATGTTTTATTGTTATTCCGTTTGTAGCTGAGCTGAAGTAAAAATTTTGGACAATTGTTTTTTATATATTGCATTTAGCTATGATTATATTTTAAATATAAATAATAATTATAATCTTAGTTTTTGTTTAATTATTTTCTTGATTTTTACTTTTTTAATGTTTGTATGTTTTAATCTCTGATAAAGAGGGTTTACTTCGGCGTCTTATTTATTAATATGCAAAATGTTTCAAATAAATAATCGAAAAAAAGATGTAGTATTTTTCCCGTCGCATCCACTATTTTTGCCTCAGTATTAAAAAGTATTGTTTTATGGCTTTTGGGCTGTAATATGGGAGCAAAGCGAATTATTTAAGAAACCTTGGGAACAGTTATCTTTGTGTTCTAGCGACTGTGTCTAGAGATATGCAAAATGCCAAAATGTATAACTCCTATTGATATAGCAACTTCCGTTTCCTGTCAAGATTTGAACCGCATCTATTTTTGATAAGATCAGTGAGTGGAATTTCAATTTTGTCCCGAAATGAGCGATGAAAGTCGTGTATATTCTCTCAAATACATGATAGATGTTGCTCATTCCCCTCATACACTGTCACGTTTGCTTTGAATAGAAACAGATTGCTGCTATCATCATCAGAAGTCATCAGGAGTGATTGTGTGTGTACCTAGTCGAGTAACATATATCTAACACAAATTCTTCTATATAGGGGAAAAGAGAATCAGAATGAGAAAAACCAGTCATCACCCCGAAGCGACTTAGAGAGAGACGGCATTTTTTGGCCTACGCCACTGTTTTAATGCTAATTTTAGAATCAAGCAACAAGTGAATAGTTCGGTTCAGGGTTCTGACCGAGCGGCCGCCGGCAGACAGATCGATCCAGCATGCAATGCAAGATCAGTGTTGGCACCCGCATGCGTAAGAACAGTGAGAAAGGTTGGCAACAGTGGCCAGAAACAATAGTTTTTCACACACTTGCGGCACATAATCTTACGTAACAGGCACGCGCACTATGTATTCTTCCGAGACTTCTCTGCAACAAATTAAAGCCGCTCCGTTCAAAAGGGGGCTCAACTGTGATAAAAATGTGACATGCAATACGCACTGGGACACTTTTACTAATTCGCATCGATGCGAGATTCGTGTTCGTGCACCCATGTGGCCAGAATATAAATAATATAATAAATTTAAAAAATATGTACAGCTTGACCCACGTTAGATGAGAATCTACAATGTAAGAAACATCTTACATGAATCATTCTGTATTAATGTTTAATTGATTTTATCCCGGCGCATCCACCATTTTTATAACTCTGAGTTCAATTAAATCTTTTTGGTTTTAATTTTAAAATTACAACATTAAAACATGAAAACTTTGGATGTGATTTGTTTACTGCGTTTTTAATTTATTTTTTCATTCAAAGCGTCGTGAGAACAGATGCTCCACATTTTTTCTTTTGTGTGCAACCATTCGTAATGTTTCTTTTAATTTCTTGCGAGATTTGTAATCTGGTGCTAGTGAATAACTTTTTCCAGACAAATGAAACGGTCTCGCCACGAAGCTTAATTAAAATTATTACGTTTCTAATTGAATTTAATTCAGTTTTTAATCGATTAACTTTGCATGAATTTATGTTTTGTGAGTTTGGTTGTCTGTAAAGCAAATAATTGGCTTTCAAAGTAGTGGCGTAAAAATTCACTACATTCCCAGAATGATAGAAAAACAATTTTTTTACTGATTAAATAACAAATTAAGTTATTTTAAGTAATACCGATTTTTTATTGTTTTTTATTTAGATTTAAAGCAGTTGTGTTATGTGTTGATTTATTTGTGGTTTGCGGGATTCACAGAAATGTGGCTTTGCCAAGCACCGGTCCCATTTTTATCACAGTCTCTTGTGTTATCAAGAAAGCGAGACAAAGGTTAATCCTCCTTCGTGGTAAAACCCACCACAAAAAAAAGGGAAACATGCTTAAAACTTGCATGAAACCATGAATTTGTGTCGATAATTTCAGTGTTTATTAAGCATGGAAGGTATGTTTTTTCTGGCACATGGGGTGTATCTACACTTTATTTGTAGTGTTTTAATAAAAACGAGATGATTCAATTGCGTGTCCACTTCTTCGAAAACTGTTTTACAATCGGGGGAAAAAACTTACGGCAATGTGTTATTATACGTGCGATTCAAATTCTGACTAAAGTAGCAACGTTGTCGGAGGATGCCTTGCCACAGTTGCACTCCGACGATGCCGAAGATGAAGAAAACGAAGAAACACAAGAGGAGGACGTTGCCCAACATGGGCAAGGTGTCCAGGAGGAGCATCACCAGGATACGCATGCCTGCAACAAAAATTATGTATGACCCTCGCGTGTGAAATGTGAAATAAATCTATCTAAAGTGCAAAGTTATGTAGAATGACTAACACGAACACTAATCGTGTGTCCTGTTCTAGGGACAATGATATTGATTTTTGTCTCAATTGAGTTTCAAAGGAAACTATCCCAACATTTGAAATTTTATGAGTCTACTATCGCTTTTGTGATAAATGCACGAAACGCGACTTTTATTACACCGAGCGTTTATTGATTCATTTTTCCTAACATGGATATCTGTCAAAGCAGTGATAAATGGCCTTTTTTAGGAAGTTATCGCAATTCGTGACGTTCTAGCAGCGTAATTAGCCCAAGAATTGAATTATCAAGACCCAACTTTTAATAAAAACTTTTACACAAGTTGTTTCGGCAATTTGGAAGTCTTTGTATAAATTATTCATTGGGACAATATGGCGACAAACCATTAAAAAGCCACAACAGCTGGCGCAGCTTCAAATAATGATACAAAGTCGTGTTTGCTACGAATTGACGATTGGTCAAGTGGAAGAGTTTTTTATTCGAGTGGAAGTTTAAGATGTTAATGCAATTGACTTGAAAGTACATTAGTTGATTGCCTTGTTGGAAAAGTACGAGTTTGTAATGAGAAATGAAAGTAATTGGCTTAACTTTGGGAAAATTGGGGCACGAATGTGTTATTTTATCAAAAGTTGAGGCGTGAATATGGAAATTGGGGAAAGTTTGATTTGAGAAAAGTCGATTTAAAGATTCACCGGATTGGAAGTTTTGGAATTTGAATAGATTTCCGTACATTAATTATACTTGTGCTATTGAAATTTTGTTTTGATTTTTTTTGTAACATGACTGTACAATTTTATTATTTACCGTTTTTGATAAATTGAAAAATCGTTAAAGTAGAATTGAAGAGGTAATATTTCAAAATGCCAATAAGACACCACTCGAGGGATCCACAATAACACAAAAAAAGGAATACAGGTGAAGGGAGATTGAATGCACAAACCTGACCTATTTTCCTCGATGTTATAATGGGATGGCTTTCGGGGTCCGGAATAAATATATACAGAGTGTTTTTATGTCGGAAAGTGAATAATTCGATCGGACTGTTGCCAGTCGTAATTTTTTTTTCACAGTTTACCTTCGATATATTGTCGAAGGGGATTCCTATGAGAGCGATTTCGATATACATCATTTTTATGGAGCGCAACTGCCAGGCACGTTTAACAGCGGTTTTTGTGCAGATAAATAATCATAATTCAACTTTGGGACAATTTTGGAATTGGAGGTAAACAATAAACAAAATGGTTTTTATTTCTAAATAAACAGAAATTATTTTCGCAAAAGAATATATTGTCGTTGATTCTAGAAAACCTGCTCTGTGCCAAAAATGTAATTTGTTAGGAAATGAAAAAAACAGTAACATGTGTTGTTATGTTTTTAATTATTTTTTTGTGAATTGAAAATTTTACACAAAACTTGAGAAGCCAAAAACAGCTTTCAGGAGTACATCAGTGATTATATACAAAAAGGCAGAGACCCCAGCTAAGATTCGGTAGGGTAAAAAATAAGTTATAATTTTAGAAATAGAAATGTTTTAGTTTTAATTAGAATATTATTTATGCTAGTCTACGTCAATATTTTTTATAATGAGGGATGTTATTTAGGTATGCGTAATTTTTAGCTATTTCGAAATAATTGCTGTGTTTTCCAATCCTTATCACTTATCAGTGTCTTTTTTAAGCCATAAAAGAGTCACCGAGGAATTTTCGCATTATAGTGTTTAATCCATTGTTAAACCCAAAACAAGCATCATGTTTAAACTTTTGTTGGTAAAAGCTGTAATTGCTATTATTGTAATTACATCTGTGATGTATACAATTTCTGCAGGTATGGATTCTATTTATTATGTTAATCTAATTTTGATTTTTTTTGTGGTTCTGTTTAGTAGAGGAGAAGAAACGCGTGGTGGGTTAATTAAAGAAAATGTGTCAGCTATCGTAATAAGTCTTGAATAAAAAAATTAAACTATGTAGGCATGTATTTTGTTCATTTTCATAAAACTACAATCAATTATTGCATATTTTTGAAGAATGTTGTGCATGTATACAGGGTGCGACAGAACTCTTGCCCCAGAGAAAAATTCCATATATGGTAAGATACCAGGAACATGGAAAAAATGTTAAAAAAATTTTATCTATAAAAATTTCGAAGTTATGAGGGTTTAAACTTTGCACTTTGACTCTATTTATTTCTGTTGGAAAAATAATTTTCTAAGTTTTTTTGCTATAGGCTATTAAAAGAGGAAACAAGGAAGCTCTATCCTAAATTGTAACTCTGTTCAATGTTATTTGTGGCTTTTATTGGCAAAATTTTTGTCCCTTTACTAAGTAATTGTAAAAAAACATATACAAGATCATCAGTATCATTAAATAGATATAAAAAATGTCAAATGTCAAAAAATAGAAACAGTTAGAATTTTTTAAACATTTTTTTCATGTTCCTGGTATCTTACCTGTATATTGCGCACCCTGTATATTGGATTAGAACTGAGAAACTGTCGGCGGCGAGGTGGTGTAGCGGCATAAGGTCCCGCTTTACGGCAGGTGGGTCTGGGTTAGAATCTAGCTCAAGTCAGCAATTTTTCTCCAAATTTAAATACAATTCAAATAAATACCAAAAGATGGCGAGCGCATAAGAGCGCAAATTTTTTTTTGTTTTTATTTGTTTATTAAAGATTTTTTCTTTAACCTACTGTTAATACGATTAATGAAAAATTCTATCTCAAATTGTAAATATGGGCCTTATCTAATGTTGATGGTGGGCCTTATTTGGGGCTAGGAGGTTCCAAAAAAGGCCCTTTGTAATATTTTATATTTATGTTAAAAACATGTAGAAAAATTAACAAAACAGGCATTTTTGTGGTACACATTGTTAAACAAAAGTTCAAATTACAATTTCGATATTACATCCAAACCTTTGCATATTTCAAAAAATATATAAAAAATCGTAAAAATTAAGTGGGCCAGATTTGGCTAAGTTACCTTAGAATAGCGCATTTAAATGGCAACATAAGAAGTAAGCTTAAATGCATCATAGAAACAGTGTATGGAGCCAAAAGACAGCTTTCAGAAACAGATTTTTTCAAAAAATATACAAAAAGGCAGAGATTCGGTAGCGTAAAAAATAAGTTATAATTTTAGAAATGAAAATGTTTTAGTTTTAATTATTATAATATCTTTTGTGCTATCTACGTCAGAATTTTTTTTAAATTTTAATGAAGGATGTTATTTAGATATGTGTAATTTTTAGCTAGTTTGAAATAATTGCTGTGTTTTCCTATCCTTATCAGTGTCTTTTTTAAGCTATAAAAGAGTCACCGATGAATCTTCGCACTTTAGTGTTTAATCCATTGTTAAACCCAAAACAAGCAACATGTTTAAACTTTTGTTGGTAAAAGCTGTAATTGCTATTATTGCAATTACATCTGTAATGTTTACAATTTCTGCACGTATGTATTTCGTTTATTATGTGAATCTATTTTTGATTTTTTTTGTGGTTCTGTTTGTTAGAGGACAAGAAACGCAGCGGGGGATTCTTGAATAAAAATTTTAAATAATGTAGGCATGTTATTTTGTTCATTCACATAAAATAGTAACCAATTAGAGCACACACAAAGTAAAGGTGTGCTTTTAACAACTTTGAGACGTAAAAGCACCGTTTGGTTTCAACTTGTGATTAGTTTTCTGAATAGTTTTGATGAAATGCATTTCGATTCAATTAATGCGCGTTTTTAATGTTTCAAGAGCAACAATTTTTTTTCTAAGATCAAAGGAGAAAAGTTTGAAACTTGTCGACATCAAAGGAGAGTTCATTCATACGCTGGGCAAAAGGATGTAATAAGGATTTACGTTTCAAGGCTTTTAAAATAAAATTTGACATCTCATATTAGAAAAGTCATTTTCTGTGGGTTTAATACGAGTACCTACATATACATATTTCAGTTTTAAGTTGATTTACAAAGTTCAGTTTTTTTTCTTTCTCTATATTTATCTTACTTTTTGTATTTATCATTTTTAATTTTCAGTAAATTATTTTATAATTTCATATAATTTCATTATATATTTTGTTCTGGAGGTTAAGTAGAATAGTTTCTGTAACTATACTTTGCCCCCTTATTTTCTCGTTTACTTTCTCTTAATAAAACCTATTATTATTTATTTTTCCCCAAATTTAATATTTTCGTTTTTTTTATTCTGCATTTTCTTGTTAAATAATTTAGAATTAATCAGGTTATTGTTGTTATACACTCAATGATGGCGAAAAAAATCACTGTTGAAATCTTTACGAAGTACGGCGTT